TAGCGAGAAACATGGCACTAGGGAAATTCCCAAGAACCCACACGGATGACCCCAGCTAAGAAAGACTCTAAGTAACAGTGGAGAGGATGCTTAAACTGGCCTTCCCCTGTAATCAGATTGATGACTGTCTTAACTGTTATCATAAAATCTTCAACTAGCAACTAATGGAAGCAGATACAGAGAAGCACTGGACTGAACTGCAGGAGACCAGTGCAAGAGAGAGAGGAGCAATAATATGAGCAAAGCAATGAAACTGCCATCTGTACAAAGGACTGAAATTACTGTAGCTTCACAGCACTTCCTTTGCGAGAGTTCAGTTAACTGAATATACAAATAGAAATACTTACTATTAGTGCCAAAGCCAAAAGTGTGCTCTTGAACCTCTGCCAGGTATAAGTGAGCCCAGATTTGAGACAAGCATGCAGTGGACAGTCTGGACTGTGGAAAGCTTCTGCCTTGTACCCTTTTCCCAAATTATAAAGTGACAGTTCATGAATCTCCACCACAGAGCATACACCTGCAATTCCTCAAATGCTAGCGTGGATTCCAAGTTTGAAATGATGGCAATATTGACAAAAGAACTATTGGAAAAAAAGGAAGACATAGTCACTACATTCAGTGGCCGGGGCAACCAGCCCAGTTCTTCATCCTTGGAATGAAAGAATAGGAAGGTTGCTAACATTACCTCAGACTGACAGAATAACCATGTCAACAGACTCAAAACCTACCACCTGCACCTGAACTTCTATTCCAGAATGATTTGGCTCAGGAGGAACTTCTATTTTCATTTCTTTCTTCGTTTCCTTTCCTTTCCTTTTCTAATTTTTTCTTCCTTCTTTCTTTCCTTCCTTCCTTCCTTCTTTTTGCATGTACCTCTGTGTGGACATGCTTACGGAGACCAGAGGTTGATGTCAGGAGTCTTCCTTTATTGCTCTCCACATTATTTCCTGAGACAGGGCCTTTTGCTGGCTAGTCTAGTTAGCTACCGTGTCCAGAGAATCCTTTGTCTCTGCTTCCAAAACACTGGGATGGTATTTGGGCCACCCCTCCCCAACTTTAATTTAAAGTTTGGGATCCAAGTTTCGGTTTGACACTGCAAATTCCTTTTCTACAGATCCATTTTCCCAGACCCTGGGGAAGGATTTTTTTTTTTTTTTGTATGAGACAGGATTTCTCTGTGTAACTCTTGCTGTTTTGGAATTTGCTCTTTAGGCTAGGCTGGCCTGCTTCTGTCTCCTGAGCACTGGGATTAAGGGTGTGGGCCAACAATGGCCAGCTGTGGGGGGAATCTTAATGGACGTTCTGTTCACACAGCTGAGCTCTCGCTACTTCTAATGGGCTTCACTCTCCATCGACTCTCTGCCATGCAAGTTCATAGGCCATGTCACTACATACTACCGGGACTAGTTTTCAATAAGCAAGTATTAAAAACAAAGTATTGAAAAGAAGATTGGCAATTGCTTTGCCCCAGCTCCCATTTTCCTACCAATTTAGTCTAAAATGTAAAAACTCAATTAGCTTGATTTAGAGGCATAATACGACACACAATAAAATGTTTTATTTATTGATTGTGGTTACATTAAAGCTTAAAAACACTGATAGATTATTATCAAAGGTATCACAAAGGGTTATAGTATATTAAAATACAATTAAAACATGCAAATATATAAACATATATAAACTTTATGTTGCCATGGTGAGTCAACGGTGAAAGGATGAATGAGAAGGTCTTTGACGAGAATGATTCCTCCTCGCTCCATAAAAGGGTGTTGACTGTGGAAAGCAAAGTTCAGCAGCTGGTATTTACTATTTTGAGATACTAAGGCTCAAGAATATTTTTATTTCATTATTAGAACATTTTTATTTTATTTTTTTTCTAATAGAGTAAGAGTAATAGCAATATTAATTTCTCAATATATTTCAATCACTGTTCTAAAAATTCTTTGTACAACAAACATATATGTTTGTGACTGTGACCAAGGACTTGGGAGAGGGGAGAACATGATTAAAATATATTTACACTTAAAAATTGTTTAATATAATAAAAAACAAAATACATAAGAATAAAACAACTAAATGGAGGTAGGCTAACAGTAGATCTTCACCTTTCCTCCTCACTTCCAAATCTAGCTCCTGTCTCACTCCTACCTCTGCAGCAGACCATTTGCTGCAGCCTCCCCTCCCTCCCTGCTTCCATCTCTAAGGGTTTACACAGATCTCTTCCAGCTTGTCTCTCCACTCATCCCATTATCCCAGCCCCAAACTCCAGCAGGCATTCCCTGGGACTCCATCAGCCAAGGCCACCACAGAAGCAAGTAGGCCAGCTAAGCAGATAGGTGAGCTAGAGACAGATCTTCACTCTCCCTCTTTTCCAAGTCCAATGCCCCAAGTGTCATCCTCAGCTTGGTACAGACTACCTGTTGTGGCCTCCCCTCACTCTACACCATTCCCATGGGGACTAAGCAGATATTAGGGGAGCACTGCTTTCATTTCTCCTGTGGACACCCACAGCCCTATGCCTCTTCCCATTCCCACTCAGAGTGTCAGTTCCCAATATCTAGAAAATAACACTTCTTGGAGCACCCAGTGGCCACACCGGGCAGGATCCCAGAATTCCCTATCAAGCAACACACAGCTACCACTGATGGGGGGATTGAGACCACTGATGTTAAGAGTTATCAATGAGCACTGTTTGTTGTTGATTCCTGTTATTTTGTTGTTGTGCTATGTGCTTTTTATGCTCTAAGATTATTTATTCTTTGTGGTTTCTTGGTTATGGCTAACCTCTTTGAATTGAAGTTTTCAGTGGTAAAAATGGCCATCCTACTGTAAGCAATCTACAGGTTCACTGCAATTTCTATCAAAATTCCAACGCAATTCTTTCCAGATCTTGAAAGGAAAATTTTCAGCTTCCTATGGAAACACAGAAAAGCCCAGGATAGCTACGCCATAATAAAAATAAAGACGAATAAAAGAACTGCTGAAAGTATCACCATTTCCTGTTTCAGGTTGCACTACAAAGCTCCAGTAATAAAAACAGCATGCTATTGGCACAAAAACAGTCATGTGGATAAATGGAGCCAAATTGATGATCCAGACATAAATCTGCACACCTCTGGACACCTTATCTTTGATAAAGAAGCCAGAAGTGCATACTGGAAAAATTACATTTTCAACAAAGGGTGCCAGTTAGACTGGGTGTCTGCCTGTAGAAGAGTGCAAATCGATTCATACTTATCACTCTGCACAAAACTCAACCTGAAATAGATCAAAGACCTCAATATAACCAGATACACTGAACCTGACAGAAGAGAAAGTGGGCTAGAACCTTGAACACATTAGCCCAGGAGATGACTTTCTGAACAGAATTCCATTAGATCAACAATTAATTAATGGAAGCTCATGAAACTGAAATACTTCCACATGACAAAAGACACCATCATTCTAACAAAGTTGCGGCCCACAGAATGGAAAAAGATTTTTATAAACTACACATCTGATAGAGGACTAATACCTAAAATATATAAAGAACTCAAGAAAGTAGATATCAGGAAAACAAATCCAATTAAAAAATGGAGTACTGATCTAAATAGAATTCTCAAAAGAGGAAACTCAAATGGCTGAGAAACTTCTAAGGATATGTTCAACATCCTTAATGATCAGGGAAATGCAAATGAAAACTACTTTGAGATTTCATCTTAAAACTGCCAGAATGGCTAAAATTAATAAAACAAGTGGCGGCTCTTGCTAGTGAGAATGTGGAGTAAGGAGAACACTGATCCTTTGCTGGTAGGAGTGCAAACTCATAAGCCACTGTGGAAATCAGTGTGATGGTTCCTTAGGAATATGAGAATAGATCTACCACAAGATTCAGCTATACTACTCTTGGGCGTATACCCAAAGGATGCCTGATCTCATCACAGATACTTGTTCAACTCTGTTCATTGCTGCTCTATTCACAATAGCCAGAAATTGGGAACCGACTAGATGCCTTTTAACAGAAGAATGGTTAGAGAAAATGTGATAACATTCACACAGTGGAACATTACTCAGCCATAAAAAATGAAATCATGAAATTCACAGGTAAAAGGATGAAACTAGAAAAAAAATATCATCCTGAGTCAGATAACCCAGGCCCAGAAAAAACAAATATTATATATTTGCTTTTTGTGGATATTAGCTCTTAATTCAACGGTAAACAAACTACAATCTGTAGAACCACAGACGTTAGGTATAGAGTAAGGGACTAGAGAAGCAAATAGGTCCCCTTAGGAAAGGGAAATAGAATAGATATGAATGGACAAGGGTGAGCGATTTGGCATAAGAGAATCAAGTGAGGAGCAGAATGAGGGAAGAGATAGTTAAAAGTAAGGGCCATTTGAGAGGTAGTATAGAAACCTAATACAGTAGAAACTTCCTAAAATATGTACATATATGAAGGTTATCTAAATGAAACCACCAGAGAGACAGAGCTCTAAATGGACATCTCTTGCACCAAATGAAGCTTCCAGTACCGGGAATGGGTTACATCTAATTGAGTTGTTGGATAAAAGGGTCTCATGGGAACTCTCAAGAATCCAGGCTGTTTCCAAAGCTATTGGTTATTCTCTACACACTGATATCATTGCCTCGGTGCCAAAGACAATACCCAGAACTTCACTCTTAAGGGCTAAGTGTTCTTGGTACTGGAAGGCACTCTGTACACGACCAAAGAGAAAGGGAAACACCAACCCAGCTACAAATGCTTGGATCTACAGTTGTATCCTGTCTGCAAGATATGCTAATGCAAGGTTGGCACAATGCTTGTGGAAGTAATCCATCAATATCTGATTTTACTTAAGGCCCACTCCTCGAGATGGGACCCATGCCATTGCTGTTTTGGTGACCAAGAAACCTGAGACTAGATAGCCCAGGGACCTAGGGTTAAACCAACTACTACTGTTCTACTAAAGGAACCTAACAATAAAATGAGTCCTAGTGACATTCTTTTATACCCACAGATCAGTGCCTTGCTCAGCCATCATCAGAGAAGTTTCTCCCTGCATCAGATGGGAACTAATACAGAAACCTACAGACAGGTAGTATGCAGAGGGGACACTCACCCTTCAATGAAATGTCTTCATCTAATCCCTCCTTAGTAGGGTCCCTACTAGCCTGCAAGGATTGGGGTCCTAGATCTAAAAGGAGAAGTGGACACATGCCCTATGACCCTAAGTCCAACCAATAATCACTTGGAAATGAAAATTTAGTTTTCTCTAAGGGAGTCTCGCAGGGGAAACAAATTATTCTTAAGGGTAGGTTGCATTCCCAGCAGTAGTTAGGCAATGGAAAATGAACCCAACTGCATCCTTGAAGGTTTCTGACATATAATGTTGTGTCAGGGATCTCTCTCTCTCTCTCTCTTTTTAAAAAAATTTTTAGTTTTTATTTTTATTCCCCCATCTCTCTTTGCCCTATAGACCCCTTGAGTATATATTATGGCTTCCAGCTATTCGTGTTTATGGGTTTCCTGTGTGTGTCCGTTTGTCAGTCTCTATATCTGTACTTTTTCCCTTGGGCTCTTTTCCTTCTGTTTGTTTTGTCCTATTCTGATGTGTTTTTGTTTCATTTTATTATTCTTTAGAAGCCTTTTTGTTTTATAATGGGAGACAGAAAGGTTGTGGATTAGATGTGAGGGATGGTGGGGAGGAGCTGGGAGAAGCAGAGGGAGGGGAGAAAAAAAACTATGTTCAATAAAAGAAAAATATTATTCTTTGCCAAATTTATACATTTACATAATATATTTTGTTCCTTTTACCCATTAATCTTTCTCATCTTTCAGGGAACCACTTCTTTTGCTACTCAAGTTCCCTGCTATTTGCATATCTTTAAAAACTATTGTTCGAATGATATATGTTCCCCCCCACACACACACAGAGAGAGAGAGAGAGAGAGAGAGAGAGAGAGAGAGAGAGAGGAGAGAGAAGAGAAGAGCGAGCGATTCCATGATTCAAGAATCTTTTGTTTTTAAAGTTGTTCACTCTCCGAGCTGGAGCCTGCTAACTTTAGGGCTCCAAAATAGGAACAGTATGGTATGTAATCCATCTTTTATGAGTAGGAGCTACATAGATTTCATTTTCTAAAGGCTTACAGAAGAAAAGAGGAAAAACAGTTCTCAAAAGGCTCTTAAATATATTTGACAACAACCCAGTGGTAAATCATAAACATTTTGTTTATATATTTTTCTTTTCAGAGCCACCTTCAGCTTAAGACGTTTGGTCTTTTTGTGAAAAGATGTGAAAAAAATGTTCCAAATTGGTAAATTCAGCACTTTTCTGTCCTTCCTCCCATTACAGACATTCACTTTGGATTCAGATGTTCAGTTCCAAATACTGTAATGCAAAATATTACTGTCAAGGAAAGACATCCAGGAATGAAGAGAGGATGGTAAGGCTGGGGCCTTATTGTAGCCTCTCATCAAGCTGTACAGTGACTGTGTATGGCCATTTCCACTGAGTACATGGTCGAGCTAACTATAGGATCTTCCCCAAACAAATACTAAATGTAATGGATAATTTTTGCTTTTGATATAATCTGTGAATGCTTGCATATTAAATATTTGCACTTGCAGGAGTACTTACCCAGTTATCTTGTAAGTGGACATGGTTACAAGAAACGCAGAATCTCCGCCTTTTCAGGAACCAGAACTGAGCAGGAAGGGACATTTCTAGGTCATCCATGGCATAAGAACTTCCAAAGGAAAAACAAAACAATGAAAACAGGAGTCAGAAAGCAATGCAGATAAAGGTCACTATCCCTGGGCTTTACGTCAAGCCTCAACACAGCAGTTCAGTGATTCGGTGGCCTTGCTGTAAAAACCTAATAGACTTAGTCTGCTAAGAAGCTACAGTTTTGATAGCTTTAAGATGACTGCGTTATTCTTGTTCAACAGTCTTGGACCTCCACTGAGGGCTAATAAGTCTATGAATACTGAAATTATTCTCCGTTAAGAAAAATCTCTCCAAGTTGAATTAGCAGGAGCTAATGAAGTCTGATTACTTTTAAGGATTTTATTTGATAATAAATTATATATATCTATGTGTGTGTGTGTGTGTGTCTGTGTGTGTACACAAGTACAGTGCCCACAGATCCCATAAGAGGGCGACAGATTCCCCTGGAGCTGGAGCTAAGGCTTTGCTGTGAACTGATAGGTGTGGGTACTAACCACACTCAGGCCCTCCAGCCCCTGAGTGACATCATTTCAGAAGGTCAGCGAGTCGTCTCAGAAGCTGACTTCCACAAACCTCTTAACCAGCTCAGTGCACTAAAGCTTAGTTAAGAAAGCAGTGTTTTCAGGTCATTTTGTCAAATTAAATCTAGAACTTTCTGACTCTGTGAATCCAGAAAATCATTTAATATGTTTGCATCTAAGCTTCTGTCGTTAAGTGGCCTGGTATTCATGCTATACACACAGAGTGGATGGTAAGGATTCAAGTGCCCTGGGCTCACAGATGCTATTAGTGGCGCACAGCGGAGCTCAGTGGTTATTGCCATTAGAAAGGACCGAGTCCTATTCTTACCAAAATGATGCCATACACAATCTATGTTTTGAAAATTTTCTAATTTTTTTGTCTTATTTAATTCCAAATTACTTCTGGAGTTAGAAACTTACTATTTAAACCAGTTGGCTGTTTTTGTTTTTAAAGCTTTATCTTTTATGTCATTTATTGCTAAATTATTTTAAAACTTAGAAGGCAGAATTAATTTTCATTTGACTTTCTGAAACCTAATCTTCTAGTAACCTAGAGTTTCAGTCACTTCTCTCTCGCCCTTTCTCCCTCCTTCCATCACCTCCACCTCTGTCTTGCAGTACTTGGGGACTCATTTCAGGGCACTGTGATTGTTAGGTAAGTACTCTACCACTGAGCTCTATCCTCAGTCCTCTTTTTATATTGAGATGGTCTAGTTTTTATAGCTGGCCTTAAGCTCACGGAGTAGTGTTAGGCAGGTCTTGAACTTACAGTTTGTCTTCCTTATCCTCTGAGTAGCTGGCTTTACATGACTTCCGTAAGACCCAGCTAGGGTCTTTTGGGTTGTTCTGAAGGCCAAAGCCAGTCCGTGTACTTAAGAAATTTCCATAGATACAGTGTGCCAGTATTGGTGTGATGCACTTGGCCTGGCAACAAGTTCTTCATCTTGGGGAATAGAAAGGATGAACAGCCAAGACCCACTCATGGCTTTGTAACTTGTTTCACTTTCTTGGCCTAAATTTTGGCCTCTGTTAGGGGCTGCAATAAAGTTAAGATGGACTGACATGCTGTAGACACACAGCTACAAAATTCAGGATCTCATGAGGGATCCCTGAAAACTCCCTCCCGATAAAGAAAAAAAAATACAAAACAAAACAAAAAAGAAGTTATGAATTTCAAGGTTTGTGGACAAGCAATGATACATTTTAGCCAAGAGCTATTGAAACTTAATCAACGAGCGTGTGTTTTGTACTGACCTGGGAACCACACACTTCAGCGGAAGCTCAGCAGAAATATGTAAATGCTTGGGTTTATAGGTGAGCCAGGAATGAAAGATAGTTCTATCAACTACTATCTGTTGAGATAAAAGATATGGTTTGTCACAACACATTTTGATATATTCAAATAAGAAATTGAAAGATAAATCATTTGCCACTCTACCACCCCAAGAAATAAAGATATGCAACTGAATTAATGTGCTTAAACTCCTCTCTGCCACCAGAGGCACTGAAACAGGAAATAAAGCAAAACACTTGACATACAATTTGTGAACGAGATTGCCAAGGGTTGGTACAGTATCCCTGGAGCTTTCCCACTAGCCTTTCCAAATCAAAGTTCTAGGAAGCATTTCTTTCTTACTTAGATGGAAACTTGATCTGTGAGGATTTAAAAGATGAATAAACTATTTGAAGGAGTCTGAGAGACTCCTGATACTTCTGTCTTCAAACACAGTATTTGGCCTTTACTTCGGATGTCCAAGTTTCTAAAATCTCATTAGCAGGAAGAGTGTTAACTAAAAAACAGTGTATTTGTATTGACCAATTGGATTTCCTAAGCATGAAATGCATATGCATTTCATAATAAGTTACAAATCCTATGGTTTTACCATACTGGCTTCAAGTTCTGTAACGATTTGATCCTCCATTATTTATGCTTTTGGGATCATATTAGATATGATGTATAATCCCAGTTAATAATTCCAAAGTCAGTAACTTGTTGAATAAATAGTAGGATGAATAATTCATGTGGTTACCAAGGTCTGAAAATTTTATTTCATTCAGCTTTTAAATCCAGAGGTCAGACAGACAGACACTCTTAAGACTATGAAGTGGCCTCCTGACGATTGGTAGAGTTTAGGCTGCATCAATTGTAGAGGAAGTCTGCCCAGAGAAAGGGGTGAGGGGAGAGGGTGGGTATAGGTATGTTGACCAGGGTTTCTCAGCTGACACTGCACATGAGATTAGGTAGCTCTCTGTTATGTGTGGAGGGGCCTGTGCCTGCAGACGTTAGACATCTGCTCCCCTTCACTAGATGCCAGTTGCACCCTCCTCCTCTCTGGAAGGAGTCATTGATGTTGTCTCCTCAAATGGCCCAATGTTCCCTGTGGAGAGGCTCACTCCCACTTGACAACTATAGACTTATACTTCTGTGAAGGGCTCTATATTTGACACTGGCTTTTAGCTGCTAAAAACCTTAAAATGCCTTTGGATTTCTTTCGATGGACGTATGGGAACAAATCTGAGTGCCTGGCGTCTTGCTGTGGGTAAGCACAGCCTGAGAAGTAGACTGAGATAGGCAGTCATTGCACAATACTACGAGGCAGAGAAGATTGAAGGCCCTTCATGTCAGTCTGTTTAAGTTATTCATGTTCATGACATGGAGTTTAGGTTCCTAGAACATACTTATTTCAGTGACTACAGCAATGTAAACTAAGCCACAATAAATGGAACGTTTCGTATTTCCCTTGGATGTGCTTGAAACTTCCTCCACCAAAGTTTACTTCAGTTTTTCTTATAGACACTGAAGTACTATTGCTTTCAGTGATATATACACACATGCGCACACACGTATAACACATACATGTATATTAATTAGAAGTGAACAAATTAAGCCTACTTCTAGTTCAGATCACTCCAGACCATTCTTGCTGCTTTACTTCCTGGGGAAAGTTTTAATCAAAAAACTGAAACTCTGTGTTTGCTGAGCCACTATTAGTTTAAGTCCTGGGCCCCAAGCACCACACTAAGGAGGAGGAGCACAGGTTACCCCCAGGAATAAGCTGTAGTTTAGCTGTGGAGACAAGTCTGTAAGTCAGCACAGTAGGATACTTCACTAGGGATGTCTTGTATTTCTTTTATTATTGTTGTTCATTTCATTCTGCTCATGCCAGAGTCATCATAGCACTAAGGCAACAGGCTTAGCGGAGGCATCGGCAAGCCTTGTCTCTGGCCCTTGCTATGCTGTATGCAAACTTCATGTGTCTGGTTACATGGCTAGCTTTTACACTCAATTCCTCACTCTATATAAGTGGAAGCAAAATTGATCCTGCAGGATTAGGTGTGTAAAATGCCATGTGAAAATAATATGTGTGCCATGCTGATAGAACATTAATTTATTCTGATAGAAAAGTCTATATAATTTTTTATTAATGCCAAATGTCCTGTACGTAAGTCTGGTGAATGAGTAGCAGTGACATTCTCCGTGTTCCTCTCAGGCTAAGGCACCAGGCTGGCAACACCAGCGCTACACACATAGTAAGACAACAGCGGGAAGAAACACTTGAACAGACTGCAGATGGCAGCAGGTAAAACGGTTCCTTCTCTTACCTCTATAACAATCCCACAGTACTGGATAGGAATATTAAACTCAAGTTCATCTGGTCGCACATAAGTCACTCTGCAGCCCGTCCCTAGGAATAATTCATCCAGGCCTACACGCTCATCTGGATGAAACAGCGCCCTTTTAGCTACAACACGCAGGTTAAGATAATTGCACTCCACTGATACTGTTGGAAGAGAAGAGCAGGCAATCAGCTGCTGCACCTCATACATGGCAAGAAAGAAGACCTGGTTTAACCAAAAGAAGCAGAGGTTGTGGGTGTGGGCAAGGGCGATCCCTGCCATAATATGACTCTACTTCTCTTTTCTTCCCATTGACACCCCTCAAATGAAACAACTCGCAAACACCAAAAGCTCTGCCTGAGATTAACTGTGGTGGCTATTTGGAATGGAAGCTGAGGTATGTACTTTTATCAGGGTGCTATATTGGGTACCAAGGTCCCCAATCTTTGGCATCTGTGAAACTTAAGCCATGAGTGTGTGTGACTGTGTGTGTGTGTGTGTGTGTGTGTGCGCGCGCACGTGCATGTGTGTGTGTGAGTTGTGTGTGTGTGAGTGTGTACTTGCATGCTGGTCAGCAGTAGATGTTTGTCTTTCTCAGTTGTTCCCCACCTTATGTTTTGAGACAGCTGTTCTCACTGAACCCGGAGCCTGTCAACTCTGCTAGTGTAGTTGGCCAGCAATTCTGGCAATTTGTCTGTCTACCTCCCCAGTGCTGGGATTACAGTCTTTCCATGGGTGCTGGAGAGCTGAGCGCAGATCCTCGTGCTCCCGTGGAAAGCAGTTTACTAATTAAACCACCTCCATCGCCCACAGGTTTTCCTCATAGGCTATGGCTGTGCCGGATAGCAGCAGTCACAAAAGCTTGGGAGGAGAGTCCTTCTGGGGTGGAAATGAATATTCTGTTCTCCAAGGTACTGCAGTGTAGTGGATCCAAAGAGCATAGTGTTCAGTCCCAGCTCTCTGTGAATTTTTGGTCCTTGGAAGACTCACATCTTCTCTCCATTTAGCTGTCAGATATACAGAGGATTTGAAGGAGCCTTCAGCATGCACAAGTTCCATGTGGAACTTACGGTCTTTACTTCCCTCCCGCTTGTGTTTCCCAGTCACCAGCACCACACCTGCCACAGCTGACGTCCAGAGGCCTTTGATATAGCCCCAGTTCCCACTTCCCTTCCCTCCACAGTCTTCCACTGAGTCTTTTCACCTCTGCTTTCAAAATTCATCTCCCATCTGCTTCCGCATGGCTATACTCTGGATTCCATCACTGCCCCTTCCCCGGGCAACTTTGGCAGCCTTGTGGAGGAGCTCACTGCCCCTGGGGGCATTCTTTTCATCCTTTTTAGAAATTTTTTTTGAGACATGGTTTCTCTCTGTAGCTTTGGTACCTGTCCTGGAATTAGCTCTTGTAGACCAGGCTGGCCTTGAACTCACAGAGATCTGCCTGCCTCTGCCTCCCGAGTGCTGGGATTAAACGTGTGCACCACCATCACCTGACTTCTTTCTTTCATTCTTTGCAATTTCCTTGTGTCGACGGGAGGGTTCTCTTGCTTATGCCCCTTTCCCACCATCTCAGACACCTCCACTTCCCAGTTTAATCTTTTAACTTTCACATTATAGTTTTTCCTATTAAAATAAATGTTTAGTTTATCTTGATAATAGTTCATCAGCTTGCACTATCACATTTGCAATAGGCATTTTGCACAACTCTCCTTTTGTTTTATCTAAAGGCAAAGAAAAGGGAGTGTTTCCTGCTCTCCAACACCCTCCCTTCCTGTAAGCAGTGACAGTTGTATTCCATGGTAACTGTGCTCCCTCCAGGAATTCCCTTTAGTCCTCCAAATACTAAACACATTATGTTTAGTACCTGTACTCATAATCAACTTTGCTTCTGAGACATTACAACAGTTTATATGAAAAACTCCCAAGTTAACCCCTGCCTCCTTTGAGCCGAGTCTCTAGTGGTCTGCAGGACTCAGAGGTATTTTAAGTGAGTTCTGTCCCACTCTGTCTTAGGGAACATGACACCATGACAGGTAGAGATAACATATAGGGCTAGGAATTATTAAGTTGTTAACTTTTCAGATAATAAATCCCTCGAAACCAAGAACCTCATAACTCATGGTCATTGGAGAACTACCCCCATGAAAACATCACCAGACGTGATACCTGGCTCTTGCCCAGAACACCTCCACATCCCAGATATGAGCAGCAGCAGCAGTCCTGATATAACAAAAGCCTTCATTATGCCAGACTTTGGGCTGAGACCTCCTCAGTTACCAGGTAGTTGAGAAGAACTGGGAAGCCAGAAGTGTTTTTATGCCTGAAGCATGACTCAGATGAATTCAATGAACTCAATTCAGCAAGGAGAAAAAAAGGAAACCCTTTGATACCCCATCAACTCCAACTCCTGAGCCTTTCTTTATCATATGGGCTAGAGAAATATAGTGTTAGCTAAATGAATACAGCACACATTCTGGGGTGCTTTTGAACTGTCTATGTAGTACCTCAAAATACTTGACTATGCAGCCAAATCTCTGGCTAGTCTTTAGTATTCTATGAGTTGATTTAGGGATGCCCCTGACTCTGACACAATGACATACTTTGTTATTTGTGGTTGAATCCATCTTCCTAAGTTTGTAATACATATTTAGCTTAATTGATTAATTCATTAGTTAATTCTTTGGTGGTATTGAGAGTTGATTTAGCAGAAGTTACTTACCATTAACAATCAGCAAGAAGAGGTCAACAGAGACCCTGATCTTGACCATTCCTAAACCAACCTTGAGAGAACCCAGTGCTCTTCAGTGATTTCATAATGCTCTTGCTAGAATGACATTAATGACATTAATATCTAAGCCATTAATACCTAAGCCATTAATACCTTATTCCCTTGAAACGGAACCTTTCTAGACCACCAGAGAGACTTTGATGTTCCAGGCACCATGGGATATCCTGGAAGAGTGGTGTGTATTTCCTGCAAAGTCAGTTTAATATGAAGGCTTTAAAATTTCCTATGATCTACATGTCTTACTTTTTTATTACTGTGATAAAACACCATGACCAAGGCAACTTATAAAACAAAGCATTTATTTGGGACTTACCTTTCAGAGATGAAGATCATGGTGGTGGGGAGCTTGGCAGTAGGCAGGCAGATATGGTGCGTCTCTTAGAGCTCTCATCTTGAGACACAACTATGAGACAAACACACACACACACACGAGAGAGAGAGAGAGAGAGAGAGAGAGAGAGAGAGAGAGAGAGAGAGAGAACACTCAGAATGGTCTTTTGAAATCTTAAAGCCTGTCCCTAGTAACCACACCTTCAATAAGGCCATAATTATCCTTCCCAAACAGTTCTACCAACTATACAAATATATGGCCCTCTGGAGGCCATTCCCATTCAAACCACAAAACCACAAAAGTCTTAAATTTTCTTCAGGTATATCAGTAAAGATGTTTGTTAACTTCACCAGTAGCATTGCTTGTTTTCTACACTAGTATTTATTGCGCAAGCTCAGGATGCTAACATTATATTTTTGATATAACCAACAATAAAAAGTACATGTGGAAAATACCCTGGAAAGTCTATTAAGAGAAGTGTTTGATGACTTATCCGAAAAACTGTTAAATACAAATGAAAAGGATATTGTAGTATAAAAGAGAAGTTTTGTGTATACCTAAAATAAAATTGTATTTCAAAATGCAGCTTCCATCTCAAACCTTCTATACTAAGGGGTTCAAGTTTTTTTTCATTCAGTGGTAGTTTGAGAGGCATCAGATATATCTGAAAATGTTATTAATTTTTCACAATAACTTAAAAGTTAACTCAGGTATAGTGGATCTAACATCTGAGTGCTAAGTATGTTGAATCAGAGAAGGGACAGAGTCCTGTTAACCAGGTAGCTTTGAGAAATCCCATGAGCCAGGTATGGTGACACACACCTTTAATCTCAGAACTCAGGAAGTGGAAGCAAACTCTAAGTTTGAGACCAGCCTGGTCACATAAGGAGTTCCTCCTCAGCCAGGGCTACATAGTGAGATCCTGTATCAGCCCCTTGGCCCCAAACCAAACCAAACCAAACAGAAAATTCATGAAATGACACAAATTGTAACTGCAAAACTTGTTAAAACCTAAGATGGGCGTGGTGGTGCACACCTTTAATCCCAGTGTGCTGGAGGCAGAGGCAGGCAGATCTTCTGAGTTGGTGGCCAGCCTGTTCTACAAAGCCAGTTCCAGGACAGTCAAGGCTGTTACACAGAGGAACCCTGTCCCGAAAAACCATAAAATGACAGAAAATCAACCACAAACCTAAAGACAAACTGAATATATTCCTTAGTGATAGATATTGTAATACTTTCTGAAGTTTTCCAAAAGGTATGAATGTGTGTATGAAGTGTACATGTGTATGTATAGATCCATATATGCCATCTAAATATATGCTGTGTGTACATGCACACACAGAAATACACTGTAGACACGGCTTAATTTAGTCAGTTTTTATTATTTGTATCTGTGTTCTGCATTTCATTAGAGATGTCTACAGAGTCTGGGCCTGCAGGATATTTATTTGAGAGAGGGTACACTACCACTGGCAACATCACTGAAGAATATGGCTTCCCCTCCTCCAGCAACCATTAATTGCCTATTGCTTCTCAGGGAAGGGTGGGTCTTTTTCATCCATAATGATATATTGGAGAGCCCCCTCTTGTACAGTTTCTCCTGAGTGTAGAAACACTCAGTACTGAGTGTAGAAACATGCGTGCAACAGCCATGCCATGTCTGGAGTACATTTACACCACCCCTCCCCGTCCCCCAGCTCTCACATTCTTTCTACCCCTCCTATGTGACAATCCTTGAAAGACCGAACTGGTTGGCTTATTTCTAAGGAGCTGCTCCTTGAGCCTTGAAGAAGGTGCCCTAGGTGCCCGTTTAGGGCTAAGTCTCCATAGCCACTTGGTCTCAGCACATTGACTATCTGTGAGTCTCTGCATTGACCATTGCCCACCCACCGCAAACAGAGCTTCTCTGATGAAATATGAACTATGGGCACAAATACTTAATGGCAGTTTAACGCCATGTTCATTGAGTAAAATAAAAATACTTGTTTTTTTTTTTTCAAGAACTGTATATATTTTCAAGATATTTTATTTTCATATGTATATTGTGGGTTTATTTATTTATCTATTTATTTATTTATTTATTGCCTGCATGTATTCTGTGTATTATGTTTGTGCCTGGTGTCTGTGAAAGTCACCACAAGAGGGTGTTGGGTCTCCTGGAGTTAAATATGGCTGTGAGCCACCACATGGTTGACAATTGAACATAGGTCATCCGGAAGAGCAGCTAGTGCTCTTAACCACTGAGTCATCTCTCCAGCCCCTCATGCCTTAAAAATTAAGAAGTAATAAAAATCTAAGCAGAAAGAAAATTAGAGATTGGTTGAATACATCTTTATTGTTTTAAAAAACGAAAATAGCAACAGTGATAAGAAGAGGAGGGAAGTAGGCCCCAGGGTACAGGCCCCTACTGCCTAAGACGATGAAAGTTAGAGATGTGACACCCAGCACCGAGACTATAGCTCATAGCACTGTGTTCCATACTGAACGCTTGCTAACACACACACACACACACACACACACGCACGCACGCACGCACGCACGCACGCCACGCAGGAGCACACCCTGTAGCTACAGGAGGAAAGGGATTTGTTGGTTTAATTGACAGCAAGGACACAGAGCTCATCACTCTGAAATATGTGCCTGTACTAGAAGTGGGTTGAAAATATTTGAGAAATTATTTTTTCCAGTCCTGTGGACTGAACCCAGGACCTTGAGATGTCTAGGCAAGTGGTCTACCACTGAGCTCACTCCCAAACCTTAAGAAAGGGGCTGGGAAAAATTAATTTTAAAAAAAGAAATATAAAACTTTACTTTCTCCCAGGTTCTTATTTGTGTTGTAGAAGGGCTGTTTGAAGACACATTTTAAAATAAAGGACACATTTTTAAACAAAGACATTTTTAATAAATTAATAAAGAAATGTAAATTATATAAAAATTATTTTGTGGTAAATAAGTAGTTACATTTCTTTCTACTGTTACATCTTTATCTCTTATTGTACAACAGATTTGCTAAATCCTGGAGAGGAAAATATACGTGGAATATATACCCTTAAGGAGTTCATGGCATAGTGACCTTGTAGAATCGTTAGTATTTATTTATGTTGGTATGTGTATTTTGTTTTGAGACAGCATCTCATGTAACCCATGCATAATCATTCATAATTTATAAAGTGCTGAGGTTCAAACAAAGGGCTTTGTGTGTGGTAGACAAGAGATCTGCCAGCCAAGTCATAAGCCCAGCCCTCTATTAGAACGATTATCAGTGCAATGATACATCTCAGGTGATACAGTCATGAGTGGTGCCTTCCTCTAGCCATTTCGCCTTTCAGTAGCTCTGTCTTTCATGCTGCATTATCATGGAATATAGTTCTGGACTCAACTGATGATCTAGAGACAGAAAAGAAGGGTGAGCTTAAATATAGTTTTTTGGGGTGTTGGGAATCAAAGTTACAGGCCCACAGAAGGTAGGGAAGTTTCCCACCATTAAGCTACATTCCCAGTACACAAATATTCATTTAAGCTATTTCTCCTTGTGAGATTTTAACTTCTTGTTTTGAAGAAGTGCCACCTTTTGTTTAGAAGCAAGGAATTTAAATTTGGTATAAATTATTTCCAGGCTTGTTACTTGAAATGTAGTCATAGAGAACCACTGGTATCGCTTGAGAGTTTATCACAGCTGCAACATCTCTGGATCTTACCCTCTCTTCTGTGTTAGAATCTGCTGTGTAACAGAGTACTCAGGTGATGTGTGTATTTAAGTTTGCAAACAAGTCCTTCTGATGAGTATCAAGTCAGCATGCTCTGTGAAGGCAAATCCCTGTGCCCCAGCAATTCTGAGGGCACTAGAATTAGTAACGCTTTGGAACTTAAAAATGTAAATTCTCTGCCGCACTCTTGTCTTGCTGAATCAGAAAAAAGGAATGCCTGTAATTCAGCCATCATGTATTATTAGAAAGAATATTCCACAGGGAAACCTGAGTGAGACCCTCTGCTCAGAGGCAGGTCAGTGAGAGGAGTGGAAGTGTGTGCGGTGTCAAGGTGTTGAACCTTTGCATTCTGCCTGACACAGGACAACTACATTCTTATACAGCTGCCCCTTTAGTGTGCAGATGATGAGACACAGATATTTTGGGATGTTAGGGAGTTTTAACAAAGTATAGCTTATTGTATAAAATCACTCTATACACACTGATACAGATTCTGATGCAAGCCAGCCTCCCATTCCTTCTGAATCGCCTGGAGAGCTCTCCTGTTGCAGCAGTCATGGGGGCTGTGTATGTGTGCTTCCACTGTGCTGTGGGACTACAGTGGCAGGGATGGCATCATGTTCACTCTGGTTCTTCAGTACCCAAATAAAGCATTACATTTTAGACGATGAACTGATGGTGTATTAGTGGCAGGTGTGTGCTGTAAAAGGCACCAGTTAAGTACTCCCAACTGAGGCCATCTATTCCAGCATATAAGGCCTTTCACTTGTTCTGTTTCTCATTTCCTCCGTGGGTTTGATCTCCAGCCTGAGCCATGAAGTCTTTCCTGGGCCTGAGGGGACTCCTTCTGTTTCTTTTCGTCCTGACAACTGGTGCTGATTATTGGTCAGGTATTGCGTGTGACGTGGAATATTGGGATGCCGTACCGTGTGCTGACGGAAGAGGCTTTCTGACTGTTTCATAAAGATGCATGATGTGAAAATCTCACAGTTCTACTGAGACCGGACACTGTCCTAGCTTGAGTTGTTTCTTTCTCCGGTTTCCCTTTTCTTTTGACCCTTCCCAGATCACATCACATTCTGGGGATTCAGTGCGTTGAGGTGAGCGAGATGTGAGGAAAGTGGAGTGGACTGGAATGCACAGACATGTTCCTGGACTGTGAAGTACCTGGGACTCGCTTGGGCATAGTGGTGCAAGCCTTTATTTCTGAGTTCAAGGCCAGCTTTATCTACAGAGTGAGAGCTACAAAGAGAAACCCTGTCTCAAAAAAAAATCCAACAAATATAAACAAACAAACAAATTATCTCAGGGCACCCTGTAGCAGGTAGGAAAAGGAGCCTTTTCAAGGACTCAGCCTTCCTTGGCCTTATCTTTGCAGAGCCGCAGTACCTGAGAGGGGAGGCCAGCTCCTCATGGTAAGGCGACTAGTGGGCCCAGTTTCCTTAGTTTGAGTGCCAACAAGTCTCCTACTTTAAGCAAACGTGAGTGGTTGGTCTCCTAAATATGAGTGCAGACTCTTAGTTTGAAGGCTTAGAATTACAATAAAAAGTTAGGTGTTTTTCTCAGTTTACTTTCAACAAGACAATCCAGTCTTGATGCTAGGGCAGTTGCAAGACTCTTAGTGTGTTGGTTAATGTCTTTTATTTCTTTTTATTAGGAGCTATTTAAAGGAGACAGCTCTAAGCAATCATATTAGTATCCACTGCCTCATCATGCAGACTTACTAAATCCATGTTGACTTGCTTCCCTTGTGTAAATTAGGATCAAAGTGAAATTTCAGATAGGATGGGAGTCCTTGTGGTATCTGGTCTCAGTGTCTGCCCTCTATCCACATGGAAGCTTACTAATCACTCATTCCTCTGCATGTTTCCTAATTCGACTTCAGCTTTACAGTAGCAGATATATGTATCTGAAGTTTTATTTGTAGTTTATTCTACAACTTTATTTTGCTCAGGGTTATTTAGAGACATTTTCCCTCCTCCCAGTCCCTTCTACCATCTCCCCGCTCCCTCAGATCCCTTCCTCCTCTGTGTCCCTTTAACAAAAAGAGCAGGCCTCCCGAACATGGCATAACAAGTTTGGTTGCAGCGTTCTTGACTAGTGTTCATCGCTCTCAACCTCCATGTCTGCTTCTAAGTACCACGAAGCTGTGGATATATAAATGAAGGCAAGGGCTAGCGTAGAGGAGCGTGAGTTGATCAAGAGCACAGTCATGCTCTGCGCTTCCCACAGTTACAATAGAAATGTGTTCCTGTGGCACAGCTGTGTAAAATGTTGACCATGAGGCTGGGCATGATGATGTCCACCTTTAATCTCAGGACTTGGGAGGCAGGGGCAGGTGGATCTAAGTTCAAGGCCAGCCTGGTCTACATAGAGAGTTCCAGGCCGTCCAGAGCTATGTAGTGAGACTTGTCCTAAGAAAAAGATTGACTTCTGAGAATGGAATTAAAGGATTAAAAATGTCCTCAATTTGTATTGCTTTTCACTCCCCGACAGAGTTACTAAACAATGGAGTGTTTGTGGATATCTTAGGGATGAAGTCATAGCAGATGATCATCTTTACAGAATTGCTTCTCTCTACAACATGTTTTATTTTGTTAAGGGAGGATCTCTTGCAGTAACTAGCTTTGCTCAAATGTTCTGTGATGATTCACATACAGCCTGTTAACAGAAATATTCTCCTTTCTACTTCCTAGCCCTTCGTCTGAAATGCACCAATCGTTGGTTCTATCTCAGGATTAAGGCCACGCTATTCCACAATATATTTATGGAACCTGATGAAGTGTTTTTAGGATATGGCTGCCCTGTGAGCGTCGTCTGGCCAAATGATATCTATGACTTTACCTACCGTACTTATTCCTGCGGCATTGTCAATAAAGTAAGAAGAAACACCAGTATCTGTGGGCCCTTCCTTGGACCCACAAAATGGAAATCATAATTTCTATTTGTCTTACAGCTGAGTTAATGTCTTTAAAAGTCACATCCAGGAAAACTGATGTTAACTTGTTGATAGGAAGAGATTCGTTTTCAGTGCATCACAAAGTAGTTTCCAAAACTAGTTGCACATTACAGCCCACGACATTCTAGCCTCAGGTGGAAGGGAGTAACATTGGTTAAACATCACAAAGGGCCTCAGAGTTCCCTACTAGGGGTATTGACACATTCGGTATGCATTGCTGTCTAACATTAACTGGGATTTTTAGCTGATTACAAAAGAAAAAAATCAGAAACGCTGTAATATTACTTATCAAAAGACATTACACGACTTTTACAGGTTGAGGTGAAGGACAGATTTGGTGAGACAGGAAGAAAATTTTAGATGGAGCTGTGCATGCAGAATACAGGGTTTATTAGGTGCCCTTGGGAGAATGATTACTGTGTGAAAAGAGCTGGGCTGTGGGGAACTCAGACGTCTGTGGATGGATCCTGCAGGCTGATGGTGTCCCAGCCAGATAACTGATGAACTGATTAGTACTGGAACTTCGTCAGGGTGGGTTTTCTTTTCTTTTTTTCTTCTTCCTTCTCTCTCTCTGTCTCCTTCATTTCCCTCCCTTCTTTTCCCCTCCCTCCTTCCCTCCCTCCCTCTTTCCCTCCCTTCCTTCCTTCTTTCCTTCCTTCTTTTTTTAAAGAAATGATATAGGGACTGGGCTGTATCGATGTATCTCAGTTGATAGCATGCTCATCTAACATGTACAAGGCTCTGTGTTGATTCCTAACACCACAGAAACTTGGCTTGGTGGAGCACACCTGTGACCCTAGTACTGGAGCGGCAGAGGCAGGAAGATCAGGAGTTCAAAGACAGCACAGAATACGAGAGACCCAGTCTCAAAACAAATGTCCTGAGTTCATCATTTAAATGAAATTCCCAGACTTCTGAATTCCAAATGTGTTTTAGCTGATCTGAAAGCTGGTGTTCTCCGAAATAAGCAACACTTTATCTTCTACTGTGTTTCTGGAAAGGAGGTGTAAGCACGTGATTTTTAAAAATACAAATAAAAGATCTGATTTCTTTCAATAAACAAGTATGATCTGCCTTTTACATCTGAGTAGTGTACCAGATTGAACCTGTCTCTTCAGAAGATGGTTCTCATGAGTGATTGTTTAAGGTTTTTTTTGGTTTTTTTTTTTTTTTTGAGAACTTGAAGTACCTATCAGCTCTAGCTCAATTCCCTTGGTCTCCTGAGATGTGTGAGATACTTTAAATCTTTCTCTGCCCCTTCAGGTTCTTTATGATGTCACTCTGCTTCAGACATATCTTACGTATATCCCAAAAAACTCTACTAACCAAACTGAGATGCATCTGTCCTGTGTTCTACACAGGTGAGTACCACACGTGGGACACTTGTCCAAGGCCCCAGCTTCACCTCAACCCTCTAAATGAAAGATCCAAACCCTAAATGTTAAACCACACAACCCAGGGTGTGGGCGGGTGTGGTGCTGGTGGGAACCAAAGCCAGCAGGAATACAGATGTTGATATCCTTGGTTCTGAGCCTTCAAAGTGACGATTGTCTCCTAGAGCATTAGAATACTGGAGAAGAGAAGGAGATTAATCTACTTTTTTAATATGAGTGTCCAAATGGCTGAAAACCTTTCAGGTTCCACCCAGCTAATCGAGCCAAACTGCTTTAAAAAAGAAGTCCACATCCAAGTGTAAGGAGGACAGAAAGGAAAAGCCTGAAAGATACAGAACTGTGTCAGAGAAATCAAGGCCAGCATGCAGCAGGGGAGGGTGGGGCTGACATCATAGGGAGAGAAGCAGATTAAATCCCACCCATGGGGTGAGATTCAGTATCTTAATCATTAACCATTTGAGAAAGCCTCAGTTATAGCTCCTTAGCAACCTTGACCAGGGATTAGCAAAGTCATAGTAAGTGTGTCAAGGCTTTGGGAGAGGAGACAATCTATTAGATTTTTCTGGTTAAAATCATTTAATGAGCATTTTTAAAGAAATTTAAAATGTTTTTCAAATGGTTTTGCACATAAATGTGTCATGAAGTTGGGCTATTGTGTTTTTAGTGGGCTGTTTTCCTGTCGTGTTTGAAGCCTCCCTCTCGTTGCCTCACTTCATTAGATCACTTAATAATCAGCCTATGTTCACTGCACATAGTGAGGGGCTCATAAATATATGTAAATTCAAGTGTTTCGTGTACTTTGAGCATATTCTCCCCATTACCCTCCACTTCCCCCTTTCTACTAATGCCCTTTCTTTACCCAAATACTGGTACATTCATATCCTATGTGTCTGATTCAGGATCCACATATGAGAGAACATTCAATATTTAAAATCACATATCATAGGCTTACGTTGTTGTAAGTGATTCATTTGAAACAAATTAATTTTCCTTTCAAGTAATTATTGAATTCATCCTCCATGTTCCTTCACACAAAGAGTAATACTTACCATAGCAACTAACATTTTTTAAGTTTGAGACAGGGTTTCTCTATGTAACCACTGTGACTGTCCTGAAGCAGTTAACATTATTAATGCAATATTTTAATTCTTTGAGAATTGCATACAATGTATTTGTATAATATTCATTCCCCTCCTACACTATCTCCTCCCTCCTCTTTACCTATTACATAACATTGTGTTCTTTTAAATTTTTTTAAAAAAATAATTTATTGACTCCAGTTTGTACTATTCATATACTCATGGGTGTGGGGTCATTCACTGGGGTATGCTCGACCTACCAGGAGTCAAACCATTAAAAAAAAAAAACCTGACTTTCCCTCCCCAGTTGCCATTAACTGTTCATGGTTCCTCAGTTAAGCGCAAAGGCTCACAAGCATCTTCCCAGTCCATGATATCATGTGCCTTGGCTTGATCTTATGTAGGTCTTGTGACAGTAACTGCAGGTACTGTGAACTCATGAGGGCAAAGGCCCTGTCCTTTCCAGAGACGCTTGTCTGGTCCTTCCTGACCTTTGACTCTTACCATCTTTCCCCACCCTCTTTCTTTATAGTCAGTGTGTGTGTGTGTGTGTGTGTGTGTGTGTGTGTGTGTGTGTGTGTGTGTATGTGTGTGTATGCGCATATGATGGTGATATAAAATGACTCATTTGTGGATGACCACTCTACTGATGATTGTTTTCTGCTCTTGACCATTAGTGAGTTTCTATGTTAACCACACTGCCCACCACAACTAAGATTTTAAAATCACATATCATAGGCTTACATTGTTGTAAGTGGTTCACTTGAGTCAGTGCATCTACGTCACTGGAATTTGGCCTCGAGTGCAGCCTTCTAAACTCTATGGTCTTAAAGAATCTTCAGCCCTCTGTGATATTTCTCTTTCTCCCGTTCCCATTTTTAGTCGGTATCCTCTTTCCTGTGAAGCTGAGAGTAGAGGAGACTTCACTGACAACCCTCCTGAATGGGAAGTAGACATGACAACCCGCAGGAATGATCAGGCTGCTCCTGCAGTACCGCTGAAGTAAGGAGACCCCGGACTCATAGTCTACAGCTTTGTCAGGCGTGACTTAAAATACACCAAGGAAACAGCTAAGGGCATATCCGATTTGACTAAAGACACGTTGTCCTTAAACAGCTTCTAGATTAGGCCTTCCTGTGTTTGTTAAAATTGTTAGTGAGGCTCCAAAGCTACAGAGAAACCCTGTCTCAAACAACAATAACAACAAATTGTTAGTGTGATAGTGGTCTAGCTAGTCTGTTCCTAGTCAGAGATCCCATAGGAGTTAGTGGTGTCCCTCTTGGGTCTTGTGACAATTGGTCTTACTTACAGCCTGGGGTCTGGGAGACACACCTCTGGGTGTTGCTTCTGTGAGGGTGTTTCCAGAGAAGAGTAACTGAGTGTGGGTAGAGCTCATCTTAAAGTGGATGGTACCTGTGTTGAGATTTATCAATCAGTGGTCCAAGGAAGCAGTGTTACCTGGATATCCTCCCTGAACACGTATTTATGGTTGTCACCACTGCCCTCCGATGACATCATATTCTGTCTCTTTAGCTTTTCAAGATCAGGTCAATAAACCACCAACCAGGTGTCGCAGGAGCCTCAGACCTCGGGAACCAGCAGGCTGCAGTCTGCTGAAGCATCTAGCTGTATGGATTAGAGTTTTCCCCTCTCCATTTCTCCAGAATGCAGGATGTCTTCTCTCATCCATTTTTAAAAAGTGACTGATTTGCAGTTTTAAATAAAATGGCATGCTACCTTCATATGTTCTCATTTTAAAAAGCTGTCCCTGATTTTAGCTTTATCAAATCTGATTAATCAATAAAAATTTCTATTAAAGCTGCTTCTAATTATTGAAGGATTAATGTGTGTCATTGTAAGTATAATGATCATGGTTTTTTCTTACGTTTTTTATACTATAATTTATTTTTTGAGTATTTCACATATGTATACAGTGTATTTCGATCATATTCAACATCCTATTCTCCCCCTTAACTCCTCCAAGATCCACCCTCCAGCCTCCTTACCACTTCCCAACTTTGTCCTTAAAAAAAAAAATCTAGGACGTCTAATTAGTGTTGCCCATATACTAAGGTGTGGGGCATTCTGCTGGAGCATGGTTGACATCCCGGGTGCCACAGCCTTAAAACCTGACTTTTTCTTCCCAGTGATCATCAGTCAATAGCTACTCAGTTAGGGGTGGAGGTTCCTGAGCCCCTCCCCTCTGCATGCTGGAAAGCTGACTGATTTGACGTTAGACAGGTTTTATGTCCACACTGACTCTCAGCAGTTACAACACGCCTGTCACACCCAGACGACACTGTCTCTGCCTGGTCCTCCCTGACCACGCACATAGAGAAGGCACCAGTGACGACTGACTGGCTCTGTTGGACCCACTTCCACCTTTCCTCTGCCTTTGCTTCGGTTATTGTGATTGGAATGACGTAAATGTTGTGGGAACAGTGATCAGACAGCGAGAATGGAGCAGACTGGTGACTGGACTCCGCACTATCTGCCCTTGGTAACTATGTGTTTTGGTAAGATACTCACATGGTTCAAATGTACATTAGAGTTTAATAAAATGGGCAAATGGTCCAACCTTCGGCAGGTCAGAAAGACTAAAAATAGGATGCAGAGTTGGTAATAAAAACATGCAGACTTCTTTTTCTGAGGGATAAAAATTTCTATTTTATTATTCTTTCTGTTGCTTGTTCTGTTCTTCTACCCTGATGTTTTCCTTCTTACTCTTTCTTGATGTCTTCCTTCCACATCTTTCCTTCTCCATCCTCCCTGGTGTTTTCCTCCTGGCGTCTTTATTCTCCCGTTACAGCTTATATACCCCAGCAAAATCTTTCAAGCAATATAAAAATTACAGTGTGGTTACATTCTATTTTTCAAGTGAATGATTACAATGAAAACAAGTAAAAAGTGTTTCCCATTTCCCGTACATGATTAAACATTTTACATATTACAGGTGGAAAGCAAATTATCCCCCAAGAACCAACATATAGTCAAATATCTATTTTTTAGACTTCTCATAGATCAGGAGCCTTTAAGTCATAACCATTTACATAGGCAGTTTTTATATTGTCAGAAAACAGGTCACTAGCTTCACTTTTCATATTAACTAACTAGTCCAACTAGCCACCCAATTCTTTGTTTTCTAGTTACATTAAGACAATTGCTTAAAGCTTTGTTTTAGTCATGCTGTACACTAAAACCTGTGAACACATTTTCCAACATCAAAACGAATTTGAGCTAATTCGTGGGACTCGATTGCGTTCCTTAATCAGTAACCTAAGCCACAGTCTATATGGCTCCTCTAGAGAAACTTCTAAGTCTGAGCTACATGGCACTTTCTTGTTATTTTCTGTCCTCGGCAACCCCTGCTTTATCAGGAGCAGGGGCAACACTATAGCCTACCTTTACCTGTATTTTCCCACTAAACTAACCTCTATCCTAGTCCCTTACTATATTTGTTAAAAACCCCAAATCATCAAAGTTCTATTTAGACTAACACTACTAATGTATAAAATCACTACTAATGTATAAAATCATTACTTCAGTTAAACAGTACAGCTTACGAGGAAGTCATCTTCATAATAATCCAGTAGAATGGGATGTTTCCATGATATAATCACACTATACCCATTCACACCATGCCAGATACCAGAGAAAAATAGCAACAAACATGTTAAGGCACAACAGTAGCAAGAGACATTCTGGAGCCTAGCGAAGCCCTTGGGACCTTGCCTATCTGAGATTCACCCATCAGTCCCTTGCCTTCTGGTGGGTCAATGTCCTGAAGTCAGTCGCCACCTGCTGCTCCTCTGACATGGCCACTGGCAAAAATGTAAATTGAAGAGTGAGTGTTAGGTTTACATTGACCTAAAGGATAAGCCCTGATTCTTCATTCATAATTATTTTATCTCAATTTCTCTTGTGTTAGACTATGTTCTTCAGTTTCACTTAAACATGATACTGTTTTCTCTGCAGAAGCTGAGACAAAAAGTCAGCACAGTGCAGTTCCCCTTTCCCTGTTGAAGACAATCATTAAGAGAGGCATTTTATCTGCTTTCCTTTTACCTAGTAAAGTGTTGGTGAAGCTCCCTCCACTTCCAGTAAGATCTCGTTTAACTAAATAAAAAGGTCACCTGACTTTCCCTCTTCTCTGCAGTGTGTTTGGAAACCATAAGAAGGCCGGGTGGATGCTGACCTCCGGGAATTTCATGGCCCATTACCATCTTCAAAATCAGAGCAGTGATCACTCCTCAGAGACCGACTAAGGTTGGCCTGTTAGTATTCCCTTATGGAAGGAGTAGTGGGAGCGTGGCTGGCTCTCAGAGGAGTTTACAGCCACTTACTCCCTCCTCCCCCAGCTGCTGCACTTGGGCCTAATTCCGTGTGTTTGGGGGGGGTGCTAATGTACTCAGGAGGTGGAAAGTTAAAAGGAAGATTCATCTACACAGCTTTTGGAGATCACCTAGGGGTGGGACTTTTCTGTGTATAACTGTTCTGGGGCTCACTCATGCATCTGTATGTACCCCT